ATAATATAAATATAAAATTTATTATATTTTACATGTTTTCAAAATATTGAGTTGGTAGTTTTTTGATGTTTCATTACAATAGAGAAAAAAATATGCTACCTAGGTTAAGAATGCTGGAAATTGTAGGATTTTCAAGTGATTTCAACACTTTAACCCTTTGCGGTCCAATTTTATTTTTGGAATTCAAACAGTCTGGTCCAAATTAATTGATGGTATTGAATGTTGAACTGGTTTGCGGTGTCAACCTCAGCCTTGACGTTGGACCGAAAAGGGTTAAATTTTAAATTATGGCAGCGGTTCTCAACCTGTGGGTTGCGACCCCTTTGGGGGTGGAACGACCCTTTCACAGGGGTATTGAAATTAAAAAAACACACATATTTAATTACATATTGTTTTTGTGATTAATCACTATGCTTTAATTATGTTCAATTTGTAACAATGAAATTGGGGGTCACCACAACATGAGGAAATGTATTAAAGGGTCGAGACATTAGGAAAGTTGAGAACCACTGCCTTAAGGGGACTTAGAGAATAATGAGCTAGGAAAGACTGAGGTAAATGAACTTCCAAACAATAAGTATTATTAGAGTTACAGATAACTGATGCTAAAGTAATCATTAGACATATCATAAAGTAAAAAGGATATAAGCTATATTTTAAGTGGAAAAGATAATATGAAATTGTGGACTTATGTTTTTTTCTCACCCTGCTCCATTACTAGGCAGAGAAGGGAAATGTCACTTCTTGCCACCTCTATGTGTTAACTTGGATGATCCTCAGTTAAGTTCTCTCAGACTGCTTTTCTACATATGGTGGGGGCAGAGAAAGTGCCCTCAGGCCCATCCCTTCTTCCTATCCCAGTCAATTTCTACCTCCTAGAGAAGACATATCAAAATAATAGCTACAACACAAAACCAAGACAAGTAAGTATACATATTGTACAGAAGAGCAGACATATAAAAACAACTTGTTATTAGAACGGAGAATGTCAAAGAGTGCATTATTGAAGAGGCGGCATTTGACCTGACTTAATGAGTAAATATTCAATTTCTAATTATTTGTTTATACCCTACCCTTTTCTTAAAAAGGACTTTAAAACTCTACTAAAATACAACTAATTCAAAAAGAATTTAAAAATGTAGAAAACAGAAACGAGGTTCCACTGTATGTCTTAAAATGATAATCTTGTTAGTAAAAGCCACTGAAAAGGTAAGAAACCAAAGGAAATGATACATATATCATATAAATCAATATTTGAAATGATTTCTAGGTAGAAAGTACTTAGAGTGCAGTAGTCCACTGACTTAAACAAAGTTAATCCTTATTTAAACATTTCATTGTAAATACTTTTGCTTGCTTTTTAAGGTTAGAAACATTCCTTCTAAACTGTTTAAGACCATAAAAAAACTATCAATTCAGCATTTTCCTCTGGATTTCCTTTTTAGCTGCTCTACTCTAGTTCCAACTGGCTAAATTCCCAGATGGTATTTAGACTCTTATCTAGCTGAGATAAGAGTAAGGTCTTGAGAAAGGTAGCAATCTCCATCCTTATCTTTACATTCTGTGTATTTAACAAAAGGAAAATCCTTCTTTCATTATGATTTAAGATGCCCCAAAATTTTATCATAAAGAGTATATTTGTATAACATCACTTGCCGTAGTATTTTTCACCAAGCATGCCCACATTACCTGTAAATCTTTGGCTATCCTTAAGTATCAAAACTTAAAAGCTGTTAAGAGGGGATTGGAGGGAGCACAGAAAGGAAGAGTTATAAAAGAAATGTTTTTAACCCCTTCCCCGGCAGAAACGTGTATACTCGTTTTCACAAAATGTTCTTTTTCAGTCGTCGACGAGTATACTAAGAAAATATGGTAAAAAAAATATGGTTTATAGGAAGACGAGTTACAAACTGTTTTCATAACCAGCATCAAAAATACTATATAGAACCAAAATAAAAAAATTAG